ACAGTTATGAATAAAGTGAATTTCTACTTATATTTAAAAAATTATAAAATTAAAAGATGAAAATAAATATTTTCAATTATTCCTCATATTGAATAGCAGCTCTCAAATCACGATGTTGCAGAATGATATAATAACATGAAACAAAATTAAAATGACGGGAAGAAATGTACTAATACAACCAATCATTATTATAAACTGATCATCATAGAGAGATAAACAAGAGTGTATCAGTGAATGTCAAATTATAATAATCTGTATTCATAAACATCAATTGTTATAGAAGCTGAACTATAGACTTTCATAAAACCTCTTTCAACAAAACAACAATCATATACAACGTCAAAACGAAAAGCTATAAGAGAAAATCTCTCAAATTGAAGAAAGGCTCAATCTAAGCATTTGTCTTAACAACTCTAAACCCGGCAGTGACTGTCTTGATAATCTCCTCGTTTTTGTGTGCCAGAAGCGATAAAGCATATGTAATATCATTCCATTGCCTCTCATTATTACACCTGGCTAATCTGGCCGCAAGTTTCTCGGCTAGCTGTTTGGCATGTTTATCCTGGGAATTACGTCAATATAATGGGTATGGCAATAGAATCATTAATTGATGAATGGAAATCATACCTTCTCAACAAAACCAGCCAAGAACTTGATAATTCTCCGCAGCGCATCTTCCTCTAAGCTCTTCTCCGTACTCAACAAGCTAAACATATCAACGAAAATGATTGTAGACTGCATTATCTTTCGTGGCCAGCTCAGTAAAGAACATCCGCGCCAGATCAGCGATACGCTTATCATCATCCTCGAGACATTTTGCCATCTCGCCAAGCTGTCCCTTGACTTTCACTTGGCCAGCAAGGATGAGGAATGTTAGAGTCATCAGACAAGTCCGTTTGACGGAGACATCACTATCATTAAGTCGGCGGTAGAGAAAATCGGTGTTCTCATCGATGAGGTGGTTAAAGCAGACAGCCATGTCGCCGAGGGCAATGACAGCGTTGCTTCGAACTATTGGGTCTTCTGATCGTTCCATTATGGTGATGAGAAGAGGCAGGTTCTTCTCGCAATACTCACCCGATACGCACATAAGTTTAGCCATGCACAGAGTTGCAGCAGCTTGCAGATTGCGATCAGGGTAAGTATTATTATTAGCGCAAATCTCAGCAACCAAAGGGCCGAAATTGGTAAGTAGTGACGTCGGTCCAAATAGTAGCTCACGTTCACGAATATGAGCCATAGCTTCCGTAAAATCGTCTTCTGTGGTGCCGCCAATGAGATCGAGTTCATCATCTTCAGACGCCTCATGCTTCTTTGGGAACGCCTGGTTTGTACTTTTGTTTTTTTCCTGCTCAGCCTTTCGACGTTTGAAATCAAGTTCGCAAAGTTCAAGGTGGACGATTTGTTTGATAGCGATATGGCCGACTATGAAAAGTAACTGTGACAGTGGAACAGAGCTCATTTTTTGTCTAGGGGTTTGAGACTCCTCCAAGCTACAAGAGGCCATGCTGGTATTGTCTTGAGATGAACAGGGTCGTGCATGTGGCTGAAATACAAACCTGGTTTTCCGGCGAAGGATTTCAGAACAAAGAGCATCGGGGTGTTTCGCGAGTGAATATATCGCTCCAATCGCATGTTCCGCAACACCATACCACTCCTTGCTGTCCGAGTCAATCTCGATAATTGCAGCTAGTTTACTCAGTACAGCATGGTCATTCGACAACTTAGGAGAGGAGGCATCCTTCGACTTTGCCTGCCGACCGGATTTCATTCTTTTTAGGGCAACGCATGTGTATTTGGCGAGTACAAGGTCTGCCCTTCCAAGGGTTCCTAAGCCGACGCGAAGCATCGCTTCGATTTCTCGCACCACAACCTCAGGGTCAGCTAGAGCAATCATACCAAGAACGATAATTGCCCCTCTCCTTTGAGTCTTGGAGATTTCTTTCTTCTGGACACTGTACACCTGCCATAGCTTGGCAATAACCACATCGGAAATATGGCCAATTTTCATCATAGTACTGAGCAGCTGTTCCAGCGAAGTGAGCTCGGCGGGGGTTGCCCCAAAAGTGAGGCTGATCATGTTGCGGGCGATGTAGTTCGCAGCATCGTTAGAACTAAAGGAGTCCGGAGCCTCAAAAAACAAACCCTTATAGCAATCGATTAAATGGCTTTGAACGCCTTTGCCCTCGTCACTATTGCCTTTGGTCCAGATCAAGCGGAGCATTCGTCTAATACCAGCGCGGGCAGTCTCAACTTTGTAAGCATCAATGATGACAAAAAAATCCATTGCTTCGATCACTTCGTTTTTATTTCGGGACGACAAAAGCTGTGAAACGATGTGTGAAGCATGGTGAAGGACCTCGATAAATCGAATTGCCTCAAGGTAATATTTCCTGGTCAGTTGGAGTCTTGTGAGCAGTTCTGAGGTTGCTGCTTCTTCGGCGGCCTTTCTCATAGCCTGTTGTTTCTGTTCCTCGGTCATTCTTGGAGCCTTTGAGGGAGAGTCATCGGGCATCTGCGTAACATCGTCAAGCAGTTCACTGTCAATATTGGTGGCATCCACATCTTCGCCGAGGCCAGGTGTCTCGGGAGGAGGCCTCAGCGAGTTTAATTCCGCATCTACAGCCTGTAGTCTCGCATCCCATTCCTTGTACGAAAGCTGACCACCATGCATTACACTAAACGGATGCGTAGACACCAATTTACCCAGCAATTTGATTGCATTCCTGCGAACGTTGCTACTTTTGTCTTCGAGACTCCGAGTCGCAAGCTCCGCTGCCGTTTGTCGACGTTTTGGAAATTTTTGGTCCAGTTCGGCAAGCTTCATATAAACCTGGATGGCACGACATCGGCAATATGGATTGACGTCTAAAAATCGTTCCTCTAACACCTCGAAAAATGAGTTAATCTGCGTTGTGTGGTTCTCATTTCTTTCTTCCTGCTTGCTTAAATCTGATATCAGGTTGCCGCACACTTCAATAACCGCACATCGCAACGTATAAGCCTTTATCATCGTCAGCCACACCGAACGTTGGCCATCGCAAAGGATTATATATATTGAATCACCTCGCTATCAAGTTGTTTAGCCAAAAGAGTCATTTGCTTAATTATAAGTCTAGGCGCAAGTTCTGAAAGCCTGATAATAAACGCTGAGACCGATTTCGGCCCCTTGCTGTCGTTCGAATTGAATTCCTTGTTGCCAATTTCCCTATTAAATTCGTAAGTGAGGATTGGATTTAAACGATTGGATTTAAACATTCAATCATTTCTTATATACCTCAATATTTCATCTGACAATTGCGGATAATCGTACTGTTCAGCGAGAATATGAAGAAACTCCGCCATGGGCTCTGAAAGGTGCTCAAAGTATGTGAGGCTTTGGACAATGGAGGTTTGTGCTCCTAGTATTTTTGTTAGCGAAGAACCCCAAACAAAGAAAGTATCAAAATCAGATGTTACCAAAAGCATGGCCATGATGCTTAACAGCAATGCACAGCACTTTGAATGCATGCATTCGAATAGACATGCTCTTCACTCGCTGCTCACTTTCTAAAATTAGGTATATTGTCCTGGTAAAAAGGTTCACAAACGTGTCACGATCAGAGGTAGTCATGAATATTTTTCCCAGCTTCAGCTTCAATACTTTACACATAACTTCCATGGCAGTCTGGATTTGGATGGAAGAGTCCCAGCGTTCATCGTTTGGAGCGGGCCTTGGTTTTGATTTCCCGGCCCCGCGTCGCACGTGGGCTGCTATAGCGGGCTTTTCTGCCAGTTTTGTCTCTACTGCAGACAATGTCCACTGCAGCAAGAATGCGTACATTTCCAGAAGCTGTTTATGGTGTTGCACAGTATCGGATTCGTCGGACTCCATATCATGATGGATGATATCGGCTTCGACAGCAAGACCCGAGATAACAAGATCCAGAATCTTGCTGAGGGCTTTTGTCGGGAGTTGGGAAGATAATCTAGATAGTTTAGAGAGTTCAGAGTCTGGTTCATGCTGATGGATATTTTGTAGAGAGACGCGAGAGGTCGGGGCACACTTGAGAAGAAATTGTAATGAGTCGAAGAAGCTGCTTCTTCCCAGGCCTTCTGGGTTTTCGGCTACAGCGTCGACGATGGGATTTAGCACCCCGTTTATCACAGGACTGGTTAACGATTCAGGGTCATTTTCGCGGTCCAGCAGCTCCGGGTCTGCTTCCGGGGTAGGAGCAGAGGAGGGGTCACTCAAATAATATTTAAGAGATTCATTGATATCGAAATCCATGGTTTCATGAAACCATATAGAGGGTGTCATATGTACAGGGAGGAACAGGGGAGAATTGCGGGGGGTAGAAAATACAGATGATGAAAGGGGAGGTTCCTGGTCCGGGTCCAGCTCCAGGTGATGATCGGGCTGATGTTGATGATTGAAAGTGGTGTTTTGTTTGCCTTTTGCCTCTTTGGGACGGCCCAGGCGGCGCTGTTTTCTTCCTGGAATGGTTAGTCTGTCGTAATGGTATTACACGTACTGGACTCGTTTTGTGGGTGCCAAATCTTGAATGAGCTTGGGCAGTAACCGTGCCAAGCGCATCTCACTACCTCCCATTAGTGAGTGCGCCACAATGTAAAGGTAATAACACCGCAATGGTAAAGGTACCTTTTGTA